GAACTGAAACGGTTCGGTAAAAACGACATTTGTAGGTTCAGAAAGCTCGAATCAGACATGGCGGACTGAGGATTGAAGGGAGAAGACACTGAATCGAACGGTGGAGAGAGCATTCTCAGCGTAGATGAGAGTTGAGAAAGCAGGTCATTGTGGCGGGAGAGCACGGAAGGAGTCACATTAGGACAACTAACTGTAACTTATATTCAAAAAGGACAATATCATGGGATTATGAAAATTTATGATTTTAAACGGAATTGACTTCACCTCAACCATTTTAAATTATGACTTGATGCTTGTCTTTCTCGACCTCAGTTTGGTTCAAATTAGGTATCGTCCTCGATAATTTTTTCACGACACAATTAATTAGTTTAATTTTGAGTGAAAGGTACATCAAAATCCGAAAGAATTAGAACAAATTATGAAGATACATACATGAACAAGAAGAATGAATAAATGAAGCAAAAGAATCAGACATGACCGCCACAGCATAGATAGAAAAAACAGAGTGTAGAGACCAAAACAATGGCTTCCACGACAGAGACGATCTTGAAGAACACATTATCAACCACGAAATGAATCATCCGAAGATCCATTGGGTTCCTTCCGAAGAGTGAAAACCGCCATGGCCACAGCTCCTTCCTCACCTTCTTCAACGACCATGTCTTCTTCTTCCCCATAACTCACTCTCTGTTTCTCTCACAATGACATAAACATATATATATATATATATATATTGTCTGGCCACTCTGTTTTTATGAGGAATCTTAACAGAACAATGTAGTTGCTGGCACATAATATGAAGATGGTGGGGAAATCTATGCAAAACCCCCAAAAAAATATATTTATTTTTCTCATTAATTTTGTATCCGTTGCCCTTTTCATCAAAATAACGATAATAATAACGTTACCCATGGGTCCCCTAGGAAAAAAAACAACCATGTCATCTTACTTTAATTTGGTTAATATATATAATCTCTATAGCTGTTAGGAAACAAAATATATATATATATATATATATATATATATAAATATAAATTATGTGGATTGTTATATTATATTTGATTATTTATTAGGGGATAAAATGGCACGCGTAAAAAGGAGGATAGAGTAGCCAGCTAGTGCCTGCTTGTTCCGTTGTATGTGAAAGCAAGGGTGTAATTAAAAACATAAATAATACAAAATGAATTGGACGTTTTGGTCAACAGGGACCGTAATCAAATTAATTGCAAAATTTTTAATTTTGAGCCAATCTTAATTCTTTAATTTTACGAACATAAATATATATATATATATTTTTTTTAATTAAAAATACACTGGCTACCATTAATACCCTTAAAATTTTTAGAAAATAAAAAAAAGTAAAAAGTTTAGAGATTATATGAACGGTTTCATTAAATATAAATATAGATAAACTGTTTTCTAATGTGGGATGATTGTGAGATTGACGAGGGGAAGAATTAAAATTATAAGGGCGTGGGAACTTCTCCCTGACATAAACATAAGGGTTACAAGGGTCTGGGAACCTCTCTTCCCAATAGAAGGGTTTAAAAATTTTGAGAGGAGCTTGGAAGAAAAAGCCTAAAAAGACAATATCTGCAAGTTACAAATGGTATTGGAGTCAGTCACCAAGCGAGCTCGGCCCTGAAGGGGATGGACACTGAGTGGTGTGCCAGTGAGGACGCTTGGCCTTAAAGGGGGTGAATTGTGAGATCCCACATTGATTAGAGAAGCACTCGACCTCAAAGGGGTAGATTGCGAGATCCCACATCAATTAAAGAAGAGAACGAGTGTCATCAAGGACATTGAACCCCAAATGAGATGGATTGTGAAATCCTACATCGATCAAAGAGTAGAACGAGACATTAAACTTTCTTTGGGAGACGGGCTTTAAAAATATTTAGAGAAGGCCGAAAGTGATTTAATTTTTCTAATTTTCTTATCCTTGTCAACAGTCCCATGAAATCAGAGATGGAGAGTACGTGGGTTCCTCCCATTGGCTGAGATGGAGAACAAAGTTGGGTTAGGAAGCAACAATGGCATTTGTGGATGAGAGGCCGCCAAGTGCGAGGTTATGTCCCACTGCCCATCGCACAAAAATCTTCCACTTCCATCTGCGCCAATCACAAAACAGATACAGATCTCATCCAGATAAGGACCTCTTCTATAAGAACAAATCAAACCCTCAATTAACCCAAATCCCAAGAACCAACTCCCCAATTCACGAAAATGGCAGCTTCATCCATGGCCCTCTCCTCCCCATCTCTCGCCGGCCAAGCCGTCAAATTGTCCCCCTCCGCCTCCGACATCCTCGGCGAATCCCGCGTCACCATGAGGAAAACCGGTGGCAGACCCAAGCCCGTCTCCTCTGGAAGCCCATGGTACGGTCCAGACCGAGTCAAGTACTTGGGTCCATTCTCCGGTGAGCCGCCGTCCTATCTGACCGGGGAATTTCCCGGCGACTACGGCTGGGACACTGCTGGGCTGTCCGCCGACCCCGAGACGTTCGCCAAAAACAGGGAGCTGGAAGTGATCCACTCGAGATGGGCCATGCTTGGGGCTCTGGGGTGCGTCTTCCCCGAGCTCCTGTCTCGCAACGGAGTCAAATTTGGCGAGGCTGTGTGGTTCAAAGCTGGGTCTCAGATCTTCAGCGAAGGTGGGCTCGACTATTTGGGGAACCCGAGCCTGGTCCACGCTCAGAGCATTTTGGCCATTTGGGCGTGTCAGGTTGTGCTGATGGGTGCGGTTGAGGGCTACAGAATTGCTGGTGGGCCTCTGGGTGAGATCACCGACCCAATTTACCCAGGTGGGAGCTTTGACCCACTGGGGCTGGCCGATGACCCTGAGGCCTTTGCAGAGCTTAAAGTGAAGGAGCTCAAAAATGGGCGATTGGCCATGTTTTCCATGTTCGGTTTCTTCGTGCAGGCCATTGTCACTGGCAAAGGACCTTTGGAGAACTTGGCCGACCATTTGGCTGACCCTGTTAACAACAATGCCTGGTCTTACGCCACTAACTTTGTACCTGGAAAGTGAGGACTCTGTCCTATGTTCTGTTCATTATATTTTGGTGTTCCATGTCGTGTAATGTAATGGAATTTGAACTTTGAATGCACTCATCTTTTGTGGTTGTGATAAATTACTCTCCACTTTTATCATCATCATCAGCCTCGCGGTCGCATTTACTAGAGAGATTCCCATACCCTTAGAATGATTCATTCCCCTTCCCAACTAATGGGGGTTCAATGTTCTCGCTGGCACATAGCCCTTGTCTGACACTGATACCATTTGTAATGGCTCTAGCCAATGCTATTAGATATTGTCAGTTTTGGCTCGTTACATATCATTATCAGCCTCACGGTTTAAATTACGTTTACTCTACAGAGGTTTTTACACTCTTATAAACAATGTTTCGTTCCCCTCTCCAACTAATGCATGAACTCACACCTTTACTTTAAGGAACTCATTTCCCTGTTTTCATAGATCAAATTCAAAACTCCTCTCATTTTCCTCTTCCTCATCTCGTTTGTTTGTCTTTGCCACTCCTCGATTGCTATCTCGTTGCCCTCGTCAATGCATCTCAATAGGATCCGCTATAATGATGAAAAAAAAAAAATAGAGTAACCAAATTATAACTAAATCAAAAAATAAAATTGTTAACTTAACCGAATCTTAATTTAACTTTTAAAGATTTGAATCAAAGCGTCTTAATAAAAATTTTTAAAATAAGAATATTGATTGGACCTAAAATTTGTTGAAAAATGAGGAGTAAGTTTCAAGGAACACGAGATGAAACCAAATATTCGCAATTCCTTTAATACCTAATCGAACCAATTTTTAAATCTTGCAACGTTTAAAAATATTTTTATCTTTAAATCAGAGGGGACCGTAAGGGCATTATCGAATTAAAAGTGGGGTCGACGTTACAGTTTGACAACTAACCCACTATGTGTATTATATATAATAAATTAATAGGTCAACTTTTCATCCAATAAATAATTTAGGCTATACGTTTTTGTTTATAACTATTTAAAATATTAATCGACGACTTAGGCCAAATTAATTCTTATCTTATCTTAAAAGAAAGTTATTTTTATTAAATTCGTTAGAAACATGAAAATAAAAACTAAATTGTTACCGATCAAAATTTTAAAATTAATGTTTTTTATTAGTTCAGTGGAGTAGAGTACTCAACCTCTTGATATTTTTTGTCGAGAGTTAGCTCAAGTCCACCATCCGTAGATATTTTATACTTTGACCTATTATGTATTACTGTCAACCTTACGATTTTTAAACGCGTCTACTATGAAGAGGATGTAGTCCTACTCCGACCAGTGTCTCTCACCACGATTTTTAAACCGATATTGTCTGTTTATTTTAAAACGCGAATCTTTTCATAATGGAACATGGGTGATACTTAAGAGTCAAAATAAACTTAAGAGGAAAGAAAGGATCAAAAGAAAGAGAAAAAGGTTGAGAGTTGGGGGAGTAGAGTGATAGTGTTGGCAGAGTCGGCATGTCGATTATTCATCATGTAGCAGTCTGATTGAAACGACACGTCGTCATTACATAGTTATTATGATATGAATAGACATTGACAAAAAAAAATAAGAAAGGAGTTCGTCAAAAGGTTTGAGTCCATTCCAATTCTCACGCCGGCTTCCCTTTAATTGCCGCTATAATTGATGATCGACTGTTCATTATTTATTTATTTTAATTTATAGTTTGAAAATCCACGAACAATAAATGCAAAAAGAAAAGAAAAAAATAAAATAAAATCAATTCCCATTCCAAAACAGCTTGAGTTGACCCAAATTTTCCCTTCATTTTCCTTACAAATTCATTCCCACTGTTGTTTTGAATTCGACCCATATCTTCAAATCGAAAGAAAAAGCATCAAATTCTGCGTGTGAATGAACAGTTCATCCCCTAAGATGGAATAAAATATAAAAGGAAGAAATTTTAATTTTGATTGTTTGTTTGTTTGTTTGTTTTGTTGGTGATGAGCGTATTAATTCGCTTCTTCCAGACTCCGTTTCTTTTACTTTCACTGTTTTTTTTTGGTGATGCCTTTTCCTTTTCCTCCAAATCATTACAAGCCAGTTGTCTAATTAGACCCATCAACGATGAAGATCATCCCACTGCCCTCATCTCAACGGTGTTCGATGGATTCCCATTTAGCTTTTCAGCGGAGATCCGATTCGAACCCGGTTTAAGGGCTTTGAATTTGGCGTTTGGGGAGTTGGGATTGAATTGAAATCGCATTTCAATATCTGGGTTTGATTAGTTTTTGACTCTCGCTTTACTTTCTTCTCTTGTTCTTCGTGTTCTTCGTGTTGTTCTTGTTGTTCTTCTTCTTCTTTTGCGTTTCCTTTACTGTTTTTTGTCTCTATGGTTTCCTCTATTGCAAACCAAGCTTCCTTTCCAGCTTGCAGAGAGGACCCTTTGTACTTGACGCTTTGCCTTACAATACCCACCAACCATTTTCATCCACCTCTTCTTTTCTGACCCTTTAAAATCCTCTCCAATTATCTTATTCAATCCTCTCCAAACATTTTTGTTTTTGTCTCCTCTTCTCCTCCTCCTCTTCCATCTTCTATTGCCCCACTATCCCTTCTTCTTCATTACTCCTTTTCTGCTCTCTCTTTTTGGGGCTCTGGATTTGTTGTTGGGTTTCAGTTCTTTCAGACAACATTTTGGCATATCCCCCCATGCTTTCCGCCTCTCCATTGCCTCATCACGATTCCCTTTGCTTCCCTTTCTGGGTCATGGAGGAACACCCAAATCTGGGTCCATAAGGTAAATCCCTCCTCTCTTGTTTCGTTGTTTGAGAAATTAGGTTTTCCCAAATGGGATTTTGTTTCATTTTCTGCTTAGTTCTCTTTGCTATACAACTGATGACATATAGCTATGTTCAAGGAAATGATGTTCTTAGTTTCTTTTGAAATGTATAAAGAAACTACTGATGTGTGGTCGTTTCTCTATTGCTAGGTTCTTAATTCTTAACTCATACATGAATTTCCAGATGGGAATGTGTTGAAACTTGTTAGGAGGAGGTTGAACTTGAAGTTCCCTTTGGTGTTTTAGCATACAATCGATCGGTTATGGCGTCCGGGAACTCGTTGAATGATCATTTATCTAAGAAGACTTCATTTTGGGGCTTGTCATTGTGGGTTTTGATATGCATTTGCATTGGTGCATTCATAGTTTTGATTCTTGGTTTGTTATCCATCTGGATCCTGTTTCGAAAAAAATCTAAAAGATCCATGGACAAGCTCCCCATTTCCCAGATACCTAATTTTTCAAAAGATATCAGGATAGATCAGGTTGGGACTCAAATTCCCAATGATCACCCTGAAAATAGGCTTCTTTCTGTTGATGTCAAGAGAAATCTTGAACATTCTGAAGTTATGGCTATCACGAAATCGAGTGAACCTGATAACAATAGCCAATGTAGTTCTACTTATCAACACGAAAAAGTTGGCAATTCACAATCTGGGGAAGAAGGAAGCTCTGGAAATGCTCGGAAGCAGGCTTCGAGGTCGCATGGTGGATATGGAGGAATTGTGCCACCGTCTCCTCTCGTTGGCTTGCCAGAAATTTCGCATCTTGGGTGGGGTCATTGGTTCACTCTCAGGGATCTAGAGCTTGCTACGAATCGTTTTTCGACTGAGAATATTCTTGGGGAAGGAGGATATGGAGTTGTGTATAAGGGCAGACTCATCAATGGCACTGAGGTTGCAGTGAAAAAACTTCTCAATAATCTGTAAGGATTTACTGGTCATCGAACCGTGTTGTTTTCTAAGGTAGTGTTTTCGGAAAACGTCTTTATGATATGAAATGCATTTAGGGGTCAGGCAGAGAAAGAATTTAGAGTTGAAGTGGAGGCTATTGGCCATGTTCGACATAAGAATCTTGTCCGACTGCTCGGTTATTGCATAGAAGGAGTTCATAGGTACCAAAGAATTCATCATCAACTTTATGAACCCTTTTTCGGTCTCATAAAGTTGCTTTCACGAGTCGTATTTTAACGTTCCATTTTGTCTATGTTTTCTGAAATTTGATTATTTCTCTGAAAAGGCTGCTAGAACTTGTCTTTACCTGTTATATTCATGTAGGATGCTAGTATATGAGTATGTGAACAATGGAAATCTAGAACAGTGGCTACACGGAGCCATGAGCCAACACGGCACGTTTACTTGGGAGGCTCGCATGAGGGTGCTTCTTGGCACGGCTAAGGCGTAAGTCTTCAAACGAGAGCGAAGTTTCGAGTTGATTTCTTCTAAAGTGCTGAGATGCAAATATATTAACTTTTTGCAGGCTTGCCTATTTACACGAAGCAATCGAGCCGAAAGTTGTTCATAGAGATATCAAATCGAGCAACATTTTGATTGATGATGAGTTCAATGCCAAAGTTTCTGATTTTGGATTGGCCAAACTCTTGGGCTCTGGAGAGAGTCACATCACAACTAGAGTTATGGGAACATTTGGGTATGACAGATAGTTTGTTTCATTCGATCGTACCATCTGAAATGACGATTCCTAATAGAGTTCGTGTTTTTTAAATCTTAGGTACGTGGCACCAGAATATGCAAATACGGGCTTGTTGAATGAAAAGAGTGACATTTATAGCTTTGGCGTTCTCCTGCTAGAAGCAATTACCGGGAGGGACCCTGTGGACTATGCTCGTCCTTCTAATGAGGTATCTATTATTATTTGACCTGTTCTGTGAGATCTTACATCGGTTGGGGAGGATAACGAAACATTTTTTATAAGGGTGTGGAAACTTTTCCCTAATAGATGCGTTTTAAAAACATTGAGGGAAACCTCGAAAGGGAAAACTCAAAGAGAACAATATCTGCTAGCACCGCTATTACATGTTTTTACTATATCTTAACTTGATGCTTGTACATGTCCTTGTCAATGTTTAGTCGCTGGGTTTGTTTGAGACTTGTCTCGCACCCTTAGGTATTCTCTTCCTACCCACCTACATTACGAGCACATATCCTTGCTTTTCGATCGATCTCTAGTTCTAATCGAAGTAGCTTTTCTGGCTATATTTTTTGCTATTCCACTCATTTCATAACAATAGCTACCACCATTTGATCGTAAAATATCAATTGCTTGTTGAAGAACATTGTGAATGGCGTCTTTGTTAGGTTAATCTTGTCGAGTGGCTAAAGATGATGGTAGCAACAAGGAGAGCAGAGGAAGTTGTGGACACGAACCTTGAGACCAAGCCAACAACTCGTGCTTTAAAACGTGCCCTTCTTGTCGCACTTCGATGTATCGATCCAGAATCAATCAAGAGACCGAAGATGAGTCAAGTTGTACGAATGCTCGAAGCGGACGAATTTCCACTGCACGAGGTATCATCAAACTCAATATCAAAGTGTCATTTGTGTAGACTTCAAGAATTTGAGTGATATTAGGATTTTTGTTGGAAAAGTTCATATTTTACATGCAACTCTGCAGGATAGAAGGAACCGAAAAAGCCGATCAATAAGCTTGGAGATCGAGTCGATGAAAGAAATATCAGGTTCAGAAGCGACGGGTGGGCCATCGGAGAGCCATAAATCAGAGACAAACCATGGATAGAACTGAGCATAGTAAATTATATTTGTAAAGAGAAGTTTGAATTGATGGTGGTGTGGAGGTTCTGGTGTTTGTTGTGAAGACAAGACAAAAGGGGGTCTGAGAGGGACAGACAGAGAGAAGGGGTTGAAAGAGATTGTACAGGCTTGTCTGAAGGACCACCGGACATGGCCATGCCCGACCTGCCTTCTCTTTACTTTTACATCATTGTAATTTCTTTTTCTTTTTCTCCTTTTTGGGCATCTCTTTCATTGCTGTTCTCTGCATGTTCCCCCTTACTCAACTCCTCATTCATTCCTTTTGGTTTGCTTTCTCCATTCCCATGTTTCCAATATCATTATAAGCATCCATAGATCTTCGTTGCTTCGAGCTCATGACTTTCGGAGACGAACAAAGTGAGGCCATGCCCTTGTTCAGCATCGTTGTGAATGTGAATCAAAAGCAAGAAACGAAAACAGTTATGGAGTCTCCATTTGCCATTGGTCACCTCTCTTCGTAGGAGTGAAGTCTATCCCCTCCTTGTAACGACCCATGTCCAGGATTCAGTATCTAGATTTGACACTTGATGACTTCGACATTCTCTTGCATCTCCTGACTTCGACATTATTTTTGAATTTTGTATTAAAATTGCAACTTACTGAGAATTGAAGTATAATGGAAAAGACACGACAAATAGATTGTGAAAAGAAACAAAAATAAATCTTGGGATTCACAAAAATATGTGCCAGTGACCAATGTTTGAATTCCAAGCCGTCCAAACTTTGACTTTTTTGTTCTTTCTGCTGTCGAATTAATCTAACGGTTGTTGGTTTGTGATTAGCTTAGTCAACATTTAATCAACATGCTTCTACTTTATTCAATTATGAAATTCAAATCAAATTAATTCAAACTTTAATATCCCATTTATGATTTCATTATTATCTATTTTATGTTTACCATATGCTATCTTTTCTTTAAACTTCTCAATACTAAATATTTAATACTCTCACTTATTATTTCCATATAAAAATTAAATTCTTCTAAATTTCTCCTAAATTTTTATATATATTTTTTTTTATATATGCATTTCCTATACACAAATTCGACATGCATCTATGTTAATCCGAACAGTCACATCTCATCGACATCAATTACATCTATTACACTCAAATTTACTAAAATTGGATTGGCAAAAGATTATCGTCTATAGTTTGATTTAAATATTTTTTAAATTATTAAATTTTAATTAATGATATACGAAACTATCTTATATACAAGTACAAATCAGAGATATCCATGACGCATGTGCAGGGACGAGGAAGCCTGACTTTCCCGTCCCATCTCCACCACCCATTTTATTTCCAATTCCCATTAAATTCTCCATTTATTTTTGTGGGGGTCGGGTGAAAGATTCCGGTCATTATTCTTTTAAAAAATAGTTGTTTTAAAGTTTTCATTTTTCAATATAATATTTAATAATATATTTCAATATGTTTGAATATATTTATATTAAGCAGAAGAGGGACGGGGACAAATAATATAATTACGTCTCTAGCCTCATTTATCTAACTAGAACAAATATTTCCCGCACTCTCTCTCATTCCCAGTCTAGACGAGGAATCTCCGAGATAGATTCCTACGGATAAAGTAGACATTTCCCGTAAAAATCCTAATTTTCAATTCAAAAGGATATGTTACTAAAATTAAAAAATAAAAATGAAAAACTAATCCACCCACCTACTGACAGTGGGCTTGACTACAAGGTTTGATATATATTTTTTTTTTTTTTAATTAATCCAAATAATTACTCAACCCTTTCCCATTGCTCATGCATAATATATAATCACAAATAATAATAATAAATAAATAAATAAATAATAAAAAGAAAAAAAAAATATAGTTCTTCACTCAGTTCATAAATTAAAGAGTATTAGGTGTAATACACTAAGCTTATAAACTCATAAATATTTCAAGAAATTAATAATAATCTCATGGGTTTTGCTTTGGATTTACCAGATCTTCCAACACCCCATACCCAGGAACCTCGTAATATTGTTGCTGCACATCCACCCCTCCATAGAACTCGCCGGCCAAGATTCTCGCCGGAATCAACGACGGTGAAGCCGACGGCGGATAAACTCCGGCCACATTGTGCCCTCGAAGTGTAATCGGACAGTAGTGGTTGTGTTTCCCTTCGTACGTTGTTACAACAAAACATGGATCTTCTGATGATCTTTCTACTCTCTTTTTCACACTGCAATTTTGACTCGTGCATTTATAATAACTTCTGCAACCCCACGATAACCCGAACTCAAATTCGATTTAGATCATATCGGAATTAGAAGAATCACAAACCCTTTCGAAGGAAATTAAAAAAACTAAGCATTTTGTACAAAAATGGGATAGAAACATAGAGATCTAAATGATATATTTACCAAAGATTAGAACTTTCAGAAACCCTTTTACCCTAATTGGGGTTTGAGGTAAAAAAGTGAAGAAATTTGAGAGAAAAACCTTGGAAAAGGGCTGTTTTTTACAGCTTTTTGCCCATATTTTCTCCATCTATACCCATCTTCAAGGTTATCAATTTCAGACTTGGTCAAGAACGCAAATCTTGGCCCTTTTTCTCTTTTCTCCTTCTTTTTTCGTCCATCCCTGTTCAATTCAATTCAATCAAAACCAAACCCTAGTAGCAATTCAACCAAAAAAAAAAAAAGAAGAAGAAAAAAGAAAACCCCATATAATCAAACACCTACACTTTCACCTCCCCACTCTTGGCTGAATCTCTACCACCGGCGGCCGCCTCGACCGACGAACACGTAGTCGAGGAATTCGGCGTCGATGGATGCTCACCGGTCGCCACCGACTCTCCGAGACCCAACGACTTCTTCAAAGCATCGTTGATTGGAGAAATAGCTTCCGACGACGAACACGATATGTCGATGTCGGTAGAGAGGAAGTTGTTGTAGTCATATAAGAAATCAGAGTAAAACCCCACATTAGAAGGATCAAAAGCTTCAAAGTTTGGGTAATAAGGATCCTTCTCATGATCTTCATTATTTGACATTGAAAAAACAAAGGAACCACAAGAGCGTGGGAATAGAAGCTACAAAGATAACCCTCAATTTGCTTCTTCTTTCTTCAATTCTTTTGGGTGTATGTAAAAAAGTGAACTTTACCTTAAATTTTCATAAAATTAATTTTTTTTTAAAAAATATCTATCTATACATTAAATATCGTCACGTCGACTGATTAAGTGGAAGATTTTAAGAAGAGTCGTAATCGATATAAGAATATGGTTTAGAGGTCAAAAATTTGTGGTTTTTACAATACTAAATTATGAGAGTTAGGCAGAGATGTGTCACTGACATTTCACTGTGTCATTTACCTATAATGCAGAAAGACGTCCATGAGATTCTTTCTTTGTTTCTTTTTTAAGTTAACTTATTTTTCAAGAAAAATAATAAATATTTTATTATTATTATTATCTTGAAGTATATGGTTTGTAAACTATAGAATATACGAAATTAATAATTGTTACTGTTCCTCTGTCACGCTCATGAATTGGACTATGATCCAATTTCATCATTTGTGAATCTTTACGCCCGCAACTCTATTACCTATTTTTTTCGTTCTTGAGCTCATGTATGTGAGCGTGTCATAGATAATGTTTATCCAAGATATAACAGCTCAAGTCCACTGTTAGTAGATATTGTCTTCAAGGGTTTTAAAACGTGATAGGGAGAGGTTTTCACACCTTTATAAAAAGAATGTTTCGTTCTCGTTTGCAACCCATGTGGGATCTCACACAAGACGTGTAGCTTCGAGCATAGGAACAACTCAACGAACTTTGTAGCTTAGATCAAGGAGGTTATAGTTTCGATGGGATCTTACATGCTACCTACCGATAGAGAAAAGAAACGTGCAACTAGTTAACAAGTATAATTATTTTACGAAAAAACATAAAGGAAAGGGAAGAAAAGTTATGAAAATGGTGCATGGTGCGTGCACTATACCATCTTTTCACTCTTACAACGGCATTCATTTAAGGCAATGAAATGATTAAAGAGTTGTGTACTATAAAAAAAAGACCAAATTTTGATATGACATGCAAAACCGACCTCATATGCAATTGACGCGATGAAATGATATCGACCCTTTCTCGAATGTAATGCAACATGCTAAAATCTAACGAGTATATGAGTAAAACTATAACAGTCCAAGTTCACTATTAGTAGATATTATTCGCTTTGGCCCATTACGTATCACCGTCAAACCTCATAATTTAAAAACTCGTATATTAAGGAGAGATTTCCACACCCTTATAAATAATGCTTCGTTTTCTTCTTCAACTGATATAGGATCTCACAATCTACACCCCTTGAGGGTCCAACATCCTCATTGGCATACTGTTCCATGTCTAGCTCTCATACCATTTGTAACCATGAAAGTCCACTATTAGTCATTTTGGACCATTACATTTCGCTGTCAGTCTCGTAATTTTATTAAGGAGAGGTTTGAGTCGGTAGAAACGAAGTATATAGCATGATGGTCATCATGATACATAAGAAATATAATGAAAGAATCATATATAATAATAATAATGTGTCCAATCTGATTGACATTGATGGAATAATTATTAAAAAAAAAAAAAAAAAATCCCACATGGCATGTGACCAAACAAAATCAATGAACCCAGCTGTGGAAGAGCTTGACATTATTGACTTACAATTTTGTCTACTTTTAAAATTACAATTTTATTATTTCAATATGAATTTTATTTTATTTAAATTTTTAAATGTAAAAATAAAACTGTGTTTCTTGCCACAATTTTAGTCCATTGGGGGCAGTTATAAGTTAGGTCTCTTAATTTTAATTTAATTCATATTTTTAAGGGAATATTTTGAATGTTTAAGGATAAATAATAACATAATTAAATATATATTAATGCGAGTGGAAATTTCAAAGTCAAAGAGATGCAGTCTTCCAAAGAAAAACAGCCTCCAACCACTAAAGTGGGTTTTTTTTTTTTTTTTTTTTTTTTTTTTTTTTTTAATTTTTAATATACCAAAAAGAAGGAATCTTTGTAATTTAAATGTGTTGATGGGTGTGACCCCAAGACATTACATTTCATGTCAGAACCTTATAACAATTCATAATTAATTAAATAATATAAAGTTTGATAATCGAAACACCACTTTATTGAACCAGCTGACTATTTTTCGATATTAACAACTTCAAAAGTCAACATTTCTCTTTTACGCAGAATGTTTTAGAATTTCAAATTAAATTTGTGACAGAA